TGCATGCGGTCCATTTTTGTTCGCAGTTGCCATACAATTTCCAACTGGAACTGTGTTGTTGCTCAATTATGTAAATTTTATCAGTGGTGTCCTCAAGTATCACGTACTCGTATAGCAACGGTATATTTGGCCAGCAAACTTGCCAATAGGACTATTCAATCGTAAAACGGGAATTTTTTTGAAAAATTTACATATCTCTAGACACAGAATTCTGTGTAAAAGTACCAGTGTTAATGGGGGTTAAATGGATGGGTAATATCAGGGGAAAGAAACACTAAATTAAAAGTAGAGTTTACAAAAGCCCCGCGTGATAATCAAAATGAAAACTACGGCCAGTAGGAAATAAGAACGGTACGAACGTCTCCACTAACAGTATACACACCTAGATCGACTGCATATCTAAATTAAGAGATTAAAGAGAAACTATGAAAAATATTCTTCGTCCCCATTCATTTAAATTATCGATTCCTTCTATAAATTTGGACAGATACTGTAGTACGATAAAGCAAAAAGCAACACAGATCACTTCAACAATTTAAACAATTTAAAAACCAAAGCCTAACTGAGCTAATAAGACGAAAATTAACTTCAGAAAGTTAAATATTTTCGAGTTTAGGAGTGGAGTAATAAGGCGAACTGCGCCTAATAGAATGCCAATAGTATTTATTTAAGTATAGGGGTCTAACGTTGTCAAGAAATTATTACCACCTATACTTCAAAAGATTGTACTTTGCCTGGCTTACATTTTATATTTAGTTTCATGTGAGTAGCGGTTTTAATGCGCCATTTGCACCATTAATTAAGCTAACGATTGACCGTTTCACAATTTGTTCGGGTATTTATCGGTAAAGTGTTTTGCTAAAAACAAATATTAACGGATGGTTTTCTATGAAGTTTACCCTAAGCGCTTCTTTAAAAGCCCCAACTTACCTAAGTTATTCCGTATGTTTATCTTGTAAATCTTATCTTCTATCCCCTATCATAACTGGTGCGTTTTGTTAGTTATCCTGACATTGCTTTTAATTGTTAAGGCATTTCAGCAAACTATAACTGCTAAAACATTAAAATGCATGTCTTCATTTTACGGATTTTTCCTACTGTGTTGGTGATAACTTTAAGTTTATATAAATATTTTGTTTCCTTTGTAGGTGGTCGCTTTTGGCTTAGATTAACTATTGAGTTTAGTCTTGAGTAGGGTTCATCATAATACGTGAAAGTTATTATTTAATATCCGGACCAGTGTTCTTCTACTAAGCAATTATGTGGGAACCTAACTTTTGAAGAGATCATAACCATCTCAGATCGTGAAGTGGAATTCTCCGCAAGGTTAACTTTATGCTAACCGTTAGAAGGAAGCCGTTTGGATTAATTTTCCTTAATGTATCCATCACGCAGATCTCGCATTATACTAACACAGTTTCAGATATAACAGTTTCATGCATAGTTGATGAGATTGCAAGCATCTTAATTCCTTCTCGTTTGCTTATATGGTTCTGGATAATGCCCCATATGTGCACTTTTCTGTACCGTAATTTTAACTACTTTCTAACTGTAAGAAGAAGATTCCTTCCGCAATATAAAAATATCATCTTGATCACTGCCCCAACTGCAAAAAAGTAGCCAACATAGCGGGCTCTTGGTTAAGTGAAAATGGGCTCCTTTTAAACAACCTCGTAGTTACCTGAAGCATAACTCACTTAACTACAAATTAATGTAAAGCAAATACAACAAAATAATAAATTAAAACTAAAGCTGATTAAACTACAATTAACAAAACTTAACTCAAACTCATAAATCTAAGTAATAAACAAATAAACTAAACTAATCTTAATAATAAGCCACAAGGAAAGAATAAGTTAGTTGTTTTATATTAAACTACGGTGTTGCTTTTAAGGAACCCTTACCGAATCTGGCAGCTGTAAGTTCTCCACCGCCCTCTGTGTGATGAATGAGACTGCTTGTTCAGCTAGCTCTTGTGCTACCCAATGCTGGGGGACCTTAGGCGCCCCGAAAACGGACACGAGCATAGTTTGCCCACTTCAATTCATTGATGACAGTCGTATCTGCCTACCGGACGTGAACACTCACCGGATGTCTGGCCAATCATTGTAGATGAAGTTTAAGACGCGCTTTAGCTCATATTCTCATCTGTTACGCTTGCAGCAAAAATAAGATCCACGTCATCTCTTGATACAATTATATGAATATATTACAAGAATATACGATCCTCTGGTATTAGTTAAACGATTTCTAGAAAAAGCACTCTTAAAAGTGGCATATTACCTCTAGCAGCAATTTCCCGGTCCAAAGTTAGTAAAATGTGACACAACTATTGGTGGAGTGCGGTGAGAGGGCGGAAACTAAGCCAGGCTCTGCTGGTATCCGGACCCAAAACATGTACTTACTCGGAGAAGTTTAAACCCAGGTGCAAACTTCTTGTTGAGATCAATCGGGTATGAGTTCCAGCGTTGCCTATAAGCAGCGTCACCTTTGACAAGTGGCAGTGTGACTGTCTGGCCTGACGCCTACTGAAGGTAAGTGAGGGTAGAATGTGTAGTAGTACCAGCGCAAAAGACTACTGCCACTTAAGATTAAGTAAGTGGTGATCTGGCCTACACTGGTGAAAGCCACCTACGCCCGATTTCTGCTCGGTCATCTGGACTTGTGTCGTTTCACCGCTGAGGTAGAGTGAAGTAAACAACTGTAGGTCTTTTTCACTTACATCTCGTTTCTATCTCCGGTCACCGCCCCTGCTCCTGAGCACATGGTAAACTTCATCGAAATCAATGACCAATCTCATTTGCGCTACCAATAGCATCTGTTTGTTGGATGTTTGGGAACATTTTGCGTTTTTTCCGCAGTGGCTAATGGACTATAGCCAAAATATTCGCATTGAAATTCCCTCTGTGCCTATTGACCTTGAATTAACTGGGCCAAACCCAGAAATAAATTTCCAAGGAAATGGAGAAGCTGAAATTTTAAAACAGATGTACCAGCCAGAAAACATACAGGGCATGTTAAGAGACACCATGATGAGCCGGTCGTCTCCCACCTGCCTCAAAAAGCGACAAAACGCTGGTGAAATAGGTTTTTGTAATACGAGTTTGAAGCTCTGCTGCGAGTTAAGTAAATGTGTTTATAAGTTTCATTCTCTAGCGGCTTAGTGCGAAAAGACCTAAACAGAAACTTACCAAAATTAGTGCAGTTGCATAGCGGCTAAAATAAAAGTAAGAAGTGGCGTTAGAGGAACAGCATTTCACCTAAGGTGCAACTGTAACTTGTGGTGTAATGAAGCCGTTTCTTGATGCACAAATACATCACCAATACCAGATTGTTGGATAAATTTAAAACCAGTGTTTTTACTATTATAAAACAATTTATCAATTTCTCGTCAGGCCATACAATTACAAGGGGAGATTTAAATGTAAAAATCGATAAATTTTCACCGAAAGCGTACGCTCAAAAAAGACAATCTATCGATTTTTTAATTTAAACCTACCCTTGTTACTGTATGGCCTGACGAGAAATTACCGAAAGCGTACGCTCGAAGAAAAACAATCTATCGATTTTAATTTTAAACCTCTCCTTGTAACTGTATGGCCTGACGAGAAGTTACCGAAAGCGTACGCTCAAGGAAATACAATCTATTGATTTTTAAATTTTATAAATATTAAAAAGAAACGTCCTAAATTAAAAAAAATATGTTTTAAGTAATAAACGTGCTTGTTTACGACTTGGCCGAATGGCGACTGCTGTGGTTTTGCATGATGACGACAAATAGCCCTATTTTCAACCAACAGTATGGCTAACCGCAACCCACTACTAGTCGGTTCACCCACATACCGCTATGAACATGTTAGACAACTAATCTCGTATTTGACCACTTCGCAGAGCCCCAGATTAAAGCCTGGAAGTGCAAGGTATGCTTTACCAACTAGTTCTTCATTAAAGCTTTATCAGTACCATTGCACGGTGCCCCCCGCCATTCGCAAGCGATAAAACTTTACCTAAGTAGACGTGCTCATCGGTTAAAGTTAAATTTAAAAATAGCGCTACAAACAGACACCCTACCTCATATAACAAAAGAATGCTACCATCTGGTGATTCCGACTTTTCTACTGAAGGGCAACAACGAAATACTTGTTAGAATCTAGTATGCTGATGGGTTTTTTTAGCCATAGGTTAAGACGCTGACTCTTCGAAAGCACTTTTTTAATAATAATATAAAATTTCCGGAATAAAAAGGATAATATTTACTTTCAAGGAAAGGCGTCCTTTGAGAAAATGATGAAATTTATTCAGTAAATTTTCGACAGTGGACATGCAGGTCGCTGTCAGCCTTGCGTAAAATGTGCGAAGAACAGTCAACATTTCAAAGTGCTGATGCATTTATAAAGTCGTCTATTCGGGGTGCTAATTGGTAG